TCAATAAAAATATATTTTAACTGTTGAATGACTTATTCTTCAATTATTTAGTCTTAGAATTTATATCTTTAATTTTCACCAATTGTCTAAATTTGATTTATTGAACCTTTTTGTCTGCTTACGCCTTACCTAACTAAAGATGGTTGAGATATGTTTAGCCGTTTTTACATAAAACATTTAAAAAATGAAAAACATCTAGCTTGTAAGTTATTTCTTCAAAGACATATATAGCATCATTTTAAAGCAAACTTATTTGTCCAAGGCATAAATGAATGATTGTACTGAAACGAATGAATGTATATAGCCTATTGTTAGAAAGCAGGACAAACTTGTGGTTGCTGGTGTTAATATGTTTATAAAAAATACAGCTGATATTATGCCATATAATTACTGCATTACTAATGGTGATTAAACTACAATAAGCTACAGTTCGGTACCAATTTCTTCGTCAGCTCTGTTGCATAAGGACAAATGAAAATTTTAAATTTCTTGGTAACAAGGATGTCATATAACTTCCTAGATGGTATTTTCTAAGATATATGAACATCAAAACTCATGAGATACATTTTATAACTGTTCCCTAATTTTTCAAAATAATTTCCCCTTCGTACATTGATTTATAATCTCGACGAGGTTTTGATCTCAATATCATAGTCCTTTTAAAGACCACTAACTCAAGTATCGTAATTTATAACTCCCGTGAAGACACTAATTAATTTTTATCAGAGACATGTCTCTGTTGTATTTAACAAGATTAGTAAATACAACGACATCTATTGGAAGGAGTTAAGAGTTATCGTTAATTATCTACTGTCCAATATATACAGATTGGGTTATCTCGCTTGGAAATGTGACATATTCTTGCACATGATCTAACTTCAGGCTCAACAATACGGTTCTCCTCTCTACACTACAAACGTAACTGTCCTCTCCTCACTATAAATTATCTCTCCCCTTTATCTCACGCTCTTTCTCTCTTTTATATGACTCCTACAAGCCCGTATACAAATAGACTACTAGGGCAACCGGGCTCCGTGTAGTCCGTGCTCCGGAAGTCCGGGTGCTCCGGTGATCCGGGCTCCTAGTGTTCCGTGCTCCTTACATAAATTTACTAGGGCACCATATGCAAATCATTAGGGCTCACTAGTCAAACAAAGAAATCTAAATATAACTCCTAATTAATATAATCTCTGATGATCTCTAACTGTATTAAATGGCTATGTGTGAAAATACAGATGTATGTAAACCTGATACAATCAGATAACACGCTTGACCTAACATATAAAAATGTTACACAGCCCCCCTCTTAACTATGAACTTCCACTGTTCAGTATACAGCATTATATAAAAAAAAATATCTAATTAAATACTGTTCTTGAGCACCTTATAACAAATACACACGTAGCCAACAAGTAGTACATGTATATAAAAAAAATGTATATATATCAAAAACATATCATGGTTTGCATCAAAAGAACTTCTAAGATAAAAAAAATATATATATAAACAAAAATGTACATGTACCTTGAGATAGATGATAATAAGAAAAAAACTTATCATAACTTTTTAAAATATAAAAATTGCACCCCTGACTAGTTTTGAGTATTGTGCAATTCTAAATAACAAAACTTAACACAACTTACAGAGATATCATGCATATTTTTATCATGGAATATAAAAAAAAACCATCGGAATCCAAGATTTGATTCTTTAAAATGTTTAAACGTACACTCAAAATTGGGCCAGGTAACACCAAGTAAATAATAAGGGTCACAGGGCTCCATATAAACAAAATTACTTTAAACTAATTTTGCGAACAAAATTTAAGGCTATGTAAAATAAGCACCACTTATTAAAAATAAGAAATATAACAAAAATACAAAAATTATATAGTGCTGACAATGATATATTTTAAGTCTACGTAATAGTTTTAGATTTAAGACTTTCAAAACAATGGAGTTTACTGGTCTTAAAAAAATGTAGTTAATCATTGTTTAATGGGCATTGAGACACCATGATTGAAGGGTTTCAAGCGACATATTGTAATTTTAAAGGGCTTCGAGACACCATAAAAAATGTATTTCGGGTTTCGAGCACCAAATAAAGCTAAACTTCTACTTTATAAACAAACACAGAAAAACTTCTGTATAAAACAACATAGTTTACACAATAAATTATCAACTGTTTATAAAGTCACTTGGTTTATTCACTATCTCCTTCCGTCGTTTCATTGTGGGTTTTTATCTTTTCATTAGACCGTCCATGCCGGATGACCGACACCTGGCCTCTGGTGTCGATCTCCTCTGCGTAAATCTGTCACTCGAGAATCTCTACGGTCCCCTTCTCGGTTCCGGAAATTCTGGTGGACGATATTTCAACATCGGGGATCTGTCTCTTCCACGCCATCTATCACGGTTATAGAATCGCCCTTGCGACCCTATCCCGTTATTCCGTGGATAATTGTAAGGAATCTTACTTCTGTCGACATTTTCTCTTTTTGTTCCTTCTGTTTCTGCAGTTACATCTGCGTCACTGTCCCCGTCTTCAACTTCATATATTGGCCGCTGAACTGGTTTGAAATGCTTGGCTAGGTCCTTCTCTCCAACTCGTAAGCATTCTTCCTGCATTGAATTATTTACCGCCTCCTGCAGGGTATTAGGTCTGGTTCGCTTGACAGCAAGGCGAAAATCTTCTGATTGCCCGCACTTGTCAAGGAACGCTTTAATAGAGTTCTCCTCTACAATCTCAGGATTGCCCGGATACGCTTTATGGTACAAATCCTCTATGGCTTGACCAAAATCTCTCAAAGATTCTTCCGGTTTTCTCTTTCTCAGTTTTGCCTCTGTCATATACCTTTCTTTCATCGCCGTATGTCCAAATCTCTCTTCCATCTTTTGTTTAAGACGATTATTATCTCTCTGTATTATAACTGGCATCCCGTATGCATACGTCTCCGCTTGTCCCCTAAGAGTACTAAGTAGGACCCTTCGTGACTTTTCATTGTTCCATACATTTAACTCGGATATATTCTCAAAGTATTGAATGAACTCATTCCAAACATCATTCCTTGCTCCGGAAAAGGTCCTCCGAACAGGATATTCATTAGATGGAGGAACGTTCCTTCCATGGATACACCAAGTATTCGGGTATTCCGTAGTCGTTCCGTTTATGTCAGTACATTCATTTTCTATACTATCAGACTCTGGTAATTGGACATGTCCTAGTGATAAGCCCATGTTTTCCGATGTATGCCCGGCTGACTCAAGCTCCATTTGCCTTTGTCCGTTTATAACAGGGCAATTTGGCCAAGGGCTCGAGTACGAGGGCATTTCATCTGAGTCATAGGGCGTACCAGTATCAGTGATAACATTATCCAGAGTACGGCTTAGCCCATTATACATATGATTAGGGCTTCGCCTGTTCCTGGACCATGTATATGCAGTGTTTTCTGACTTATAGCCAGTAATGACGGAATTCCATACTAATTTCAAAACTATCGTTGAAATTATCAGGCATATTATCGCTAATAATCCAATCACTACATAATCCTAAGACTTCTGTACTTCCCTATTGTTAGGAAAATAAATCCATGCTGTTGCAACGAGGCCGCTACTGAAAGTAAGCAAACTAATTCATATTTGCCAAAATTTCTTCCAACCATTTTCTTTACCACTTTGCGTATTGCTCATCTCCTGGACAGCTCTATCCTGATTGTTCCTCGGTGAACAATGCCCGATTCTCCGGCGATACCGGTTATCTGGCATATTCTCCGTGTGAACATCATGGAGAGTACCAGTGGCAGGCGAACTACTTAACCCAGAAGCTGCTGGGGAAAATATCTGATTTCTTAAGCAATTCTGCCTTGCCTGAGAGAGCGTTGGAGCCTGAGTTGATGTCCTTATTCTTCTTCTTGGTGTTTCCATTATATTATTACAAGTTCGTTGAAGTCACACACAGTAGATCCCACCGCTGCCACCAATGTGACGAAAAAGTGTAGTATGGTACTTGAACTAAAGTGTGTATTCTTGTGGTTGTGCTGTGTTGTTGGGTGTATAAGTTTCAGGTCGTGCCTTTCACTCCGTGCACGGACGACAAATGCCAAGTATACTCTTTAACAGGGTTACCCTAGAAATCTACTGGTAGCGTGATTAAGGGAATCCTGGTCACATAAATAAATAAATGGATCCTGGTGCAGTCTGAACGAAGTGTTGTAAGTGAACATAAACACGAAGTCGAATAAAAGTTCAATACTGTATTATCAAAATCACATTATACAAGTATAACAAAATGTACATCTAACTTCAGGCTCAACAATACGGTTCTCCTCTCTACTCTACAAACGTAACTGTCCTCTCCTCACTATAAATTCTCTCTCCCCTTTATCTCACGCTCTTTCTCTCTTTTATATGACTCCTACAAGCCCGTATACAAATATAGACTACTAGGGCAACCGGGCTCCGTGTAGTCCGTGCTCCGGAAGTCCGGGTGCTCCGGTAGTCCGGGTGCTCCGGTGATCCGGGCTCCTAGTGTTCCGTGCTCCTTACATAAATTTACTAGGGCACCATATGCAAATCATTAGGGCTCACTAGTCAAACAAAGAAATCTAATTATAACTCCTAATTAATATAATCTTTGATGATCTCTAACTGTATTAAATGGCTATGTGTGAAAATACAGATGTATGTAAACCTGATACAATCAGATAACACGCTTGACCTAACATATAAAAATGTTACACAGCCCCCCTCTTAACTATGAACTTCCACTGTTCAGTATACAGCATTATATAAAAAAAATATCTAATTAAATACTTTCCCTGTAACAGCGTTTTATTTCATTTCGGGGTTTATTTGGAAATGTAGATTATGTATCGAATCAATATCGGAAATATTTGTAATTTTTATCTATTGATATGCGTGTTTTTTCCTCCGATTTAATAAATTTGGGCCGTTTCTGGAAATCCACATGACATTTTATAGCAAAACCGCCATAGACCGGAAGTTTACTATCATATCCCTGTTTGATCTGCTACCTTTACACACAAAAAGAGCAATGGACGAAATGAATGAAATAGGAATAGGAATGACACCTGAACTGTTTGCTGCTGTATTTAATCTTTTATTGAAATTTTCACATGCCACAATGAACGAAATTAAACTGTCACTTTTGAACCCGTCTCTGATTTCCTGATTCCTGCATCAGAAAATCTTCTGTCTCATCCTAGCCCTAGGCCTCAAACCACTATTATTTTTATACGACCGCAAACAAAATTTTGTGGTCGTATATTGGTATGACGTTGGCGTCGTCGTCGTCGTCGTCGTCCGGCGTCGTCGTCGTCGTCCGGCGTCGTCGTCGTCGTTGTCGCCCGAAGACACATTAGTTTTCGCACTCTAACTTTAGTTTAAGTAGATATAAGAAGATGTGGTATGAGTGCCAATGAGACAACTCTCCATCCAAGTCAAAATTAACTTTGTGTTAATTAAGTGAATGGATCTCAATGAAATTTTACCATAAGGTTCAATACCACAAAAGGAAGGTGGGAATTGATTTTGGGGGTTATGGTACCAACAGTTAAGGAATTAGGGGCCAAAAATAAGCATTTTTGTAACTTCCAGACATAACTTATGTGTAAGTGTATGGATCTCTCTGACATTGTACCACAAGGTTCCATATCACAAACGGAATGCTTGGATTGATTTTGGGGGTAATTGCCTCCAAATTTTAGGAATTAGGGGCCAAAAAGGGGCAAAAAACAAGCATTTTTCTAGTTTCATGACAATAACTTGTGTGTACGTCTATGGATCTCTCTGACATTGTATCACAAGGTTCCATATCACAAAGGGAATGCTGGGATTGATTTTGGGGGTAATTGCCTCCAAATTTAAGGAATTAGGGGTCAAAAAGGGGCAAAAAACAAGCATTTTTCTAGTTTCATGACAATAACTTGTGTGTAAGTGTATGGATCTTTATGAAATTGTACTACAAGGTTCCATATCACAAAGGGAAAGCTGGAATTGAGTTTCGGGGAATTGCCCAAAAAGTTTAGGAATAAGGGGCCAAAAAGGGGCCAAAAATAAGCATTTTTCTAGTTTCCAGACAATAACTTGTGTTCAAGTGTATGGATCTCTCTGAAATTGTACTGCAAGGTACCATACCACGAAGGGAAGGCTGGGATTGATTTATGGGGTAATTCCCTCCAAATTTTAGGAATTAGGGGCAAAAAACAAGCATTTTTCTAGTTTCATGACAATAACTTGTGTGTAAGTGTATGGATCTTTATGAAATTGTACTGCAAGGTTCCATATCACAAAGGGTAAGCTGGGTTTGAGTTTGGTGGTAATTGCCCTAAACGTTTAGGAATTTGGAGCCAAAAAGGGGCCAAAAACAAGCATTTTTCTGGTTTCCAGACAATAACTTGTGTTCAAGTGTATGGATGTCTCTGAAATTGTACTGCAAGGTACCATACCACAAAGGGAAGGCTGGGATTGAGTTTGGGGGTGATGAATCATAAGGGGGTCCAAAAAATTTGGGGGGGGGGATTTTTTTTTCCTTTTTTTTCTTTAAAATTTTCCATTTTAATTTGGTTATTTCTGATTTATATATAAAAGCAAATAATAATGATATGGTTTGAATAGGTAAATTAAAAATTTTTAAGTTCTTAGACCACTTTCATTCTGTGTCAGAAACCTATGCTGTGTCAAATATTTAATTACAATCCAAATTCAGTGCTGTATCAAGCTTGAATGTTGTGTCCATACTTGCCCCCAACTGTTCAGGGTTCGACCTCTGTGGTCGTATGAAGCTGCGCCCCAGCGGAGCATTTTATTATCATTGTTGTTAGTGATTTTCTTTGTAAAATTTGTTAAATTGTTTTAAAAAATGTTTTAAATTTAGCAGGTAAATTAATTTGATAAACCGGTGCATTTTTTTTTCGGTAAGTTATAGCAGAGACATACATACATGTGTATATATGTCTCTGGTTATAGACCATTATTATTCATTAAGGTTCATCATAACCTTTTAGCATATATGGCTTCATTTACACCACAAATTTCGCTCTGGAAACAGACAAACCTGTGCACCTGGAAAAGTTTTAAACTTAAAGCATGACTGCACCTAGATATATAAAATTTAAATGCATTTTAAGGTTCATCATAACAAACGGACAAATATGGCTGTATTTACACGTCAAAAACTTCTCTGAGTACAGACTTACCTGTCCAGTTGGAAAAGTTTTAAGGCCTGGCATCCACTAGATATATAAAAGTTAAATGCATTTTATGTTTCAGAAAGATATAATCTTTTTGGGTTTTTGATGGGCATAAAAAAATTTTATGAACCTTAAAATATATCTAGGACTAGTCTGAGAAGATATGCATGTCCTAGCAAGGACGTACATGTATAACTAACGAGGATTTGTGTCTCCTGTTAACATATTGCGAATGGTGAGATTTGGATTTACTCACTTTATGTACAACTATGTGTGCTTCAACTAAATATTTCCGGGTAGTAGATGTATATTTTCTGTTTTGTTTTAACATTTTTTAATATGCAGGCAAAGTTAGAGTATTAACGTCTTCAATGTCCAATAAAAAAACAAATATAAAATTTTTGATTTTCTATCAAATATGTCTTCTTGCTTATAGGACCGTTAAAAAATGTATAAATTTCAAAGTTTATAAATTTTATTATTGAATTTTAATGCCAAATAACAATGATTGATTTTGATTAATTTTTAATTTAATTAAAACCTAATTTAGTTTGTGCATTTAACTTTGCCTTCCTAATTCCTGTGATGATTTATAATTAATTATAATCAAGAATAAATCTAATATACGTCCTTGGTCCCAGCAATGAATATCCATCACTGCTTTCTCTATTGGGCCCTTTATACACCCAAAGGGTAGGATATGTGTCTTGAGTAAACAAAAAAGACTAATTTCTATCCTACTTTTGCTTCGGTCAAATAACTACTTTTACTTTCATCACATCAATTTCCTCATATTTTACTTATTTCAATATACATGTATATCACAGCTCAAGGATAACTTAAATAGTTCTCTAATAAATACTCTATGTTATACTGAAATTCAGAAATTATTGTTACCGGTATGTTTTTAATGATTCGACTGGGTGAGTATCGCAATAATAAGAATTTGCATTCTAATATCTGATATATATTATTCAAACTCTACTTAGTGACTGCACACATTTTGAATTTGAAGATGCGTACCCTCTTTTTTTGACAAATCAAAATATTTATAAATATAAATAGCGTTTTGTACCATTAGAGTAAACTACAAATCCTCATTTTGATGACTTAAAATTGGAATAAAAAAGTTGTCATACAATTGGAAATTGCCAAAGTACCATGGTACATGCACAAATTGCCATATGTGTAGTATACATTGGTATAATCTTACTTCGAGACATGTGATTTTTCCAGATTTTGCTGATATGAAAAAACATTATCAGAAGTTAAAAGAAAATCTCCTGGAATTTTTATTAACAAGAGGCAGAAAACAGGCATGCATTTGATTGGCCTGATTTAAATTTTACAAAAAGTGGAGAACAATTAAGTAATTTGTTTTTGCAATTAGGCTTTTTAGACGGACAAAATGACAGAATTAGGGATTTTTTTTTGCATGTAGTTTGAGAATTGTTTTATATAGCATATAGTTGCTTCAATACATTTACTAAAACTTTATTTGGTCTCTGGTGGATACTTATATAGTTTTCTCACTGGTAATCATACTACATCTCCTTACTTTTATAAATGACATTATGTTGATACAAGATGGTATACCTAAAAATGAAAACTTATGTCACTCCATTGGTTGAATTCCAATGTTTTAGGAAATTGTGAGCCAATCATGGTGTTTTGTTGTACGCTTTTGAATATATTACCCAGAATGCATTAGATTCTGAAATGGCGAATTCACTTGATGTGATACCTGGCAATAACATAACTTTCCAGTCAGTCACAATAATTTGAAGTCTAGCTCTGGAAAACTGCAGTAAATATTTCTGCTTCATATTTAAAATTTATCGTAAAATTTTTATTCTAAAAATGCATAATTAAAATTCAATTATCTTTTATTTGTTTTCTATAACTATTAGCATTTACTTTTCCTTAGTGCTGGTTCCGCATGCACGATTAGAATGATACATTTTTTCTCATTGTTTGAGTGAATTTTTTATTTTACCTGGCTTGTCCAGTTCAATTGGTCCTACTGGTAATTTCTACTCAGTAAAGTTTTCCTTTCAAATCACTATATTCGTATGGTCATTATTCTAATCAGTTTTCTCTGAACAGATCATAATTTTTATTAAGTTGACGCGTCGTTCGACTTTATAATTCTTGAAATACCCGCCCACCCAGCCCTATTTTAACGTGAAAAAAAAAAAAAAAAAAAAAAAAAGAGTTTTATTCTGATTTTTAAAGGCAGTGCTTTAATGCCTTTCTAGTTGCCGGGTTAATCCTTCCTTCCGCGATATCCAACTTATCTACGTGGGGGGTCATTAGGCTCCAAGTAGATCCGGAAATGTTGAATTCTCTCCTCTTCTTATTGTGATATAAAATGTTTTTTGTTTCATTTCATTTACATTGGGAAATAGAGAAACGATCATTGTGTTTTGTTAGTTTTAAAAACTTTTGATATATTTGTATTTTGCATTATAAGCAGTCAACCGATTGACAAACTAGAATTATTTGAATTCCGTGTGGAAAGAGCTCGGGTTAATTTCGAGTGTTATCTGCAATCTAGATGTTTATAAATCATTTCAGTCGTTTATATAATAATTAAGAGTCGACTGAACATTAATTATATTATACAATTTAAAGCGCATTTCTGTTTATGCACGTGAACCCGTCTAACGTTATTGTTATTTCGCAGTTATATAAAGTAGCAAATTATCGTTCCTGAATAGGTGGCGCCGTGGTAACCGATCCTGTTCCTCAACTTCCGGTTTCTGCACTGTGCAACTATTTCAGTTACATTTTAAATTAACGATGCCAAGTACTTGTTGTTGTGTACCTGGATGTCATTTAAGAGAAGGACATGCATTTCCAAATGACTTAAAAAGAAGGAAAAGTTGGATCAACG